ATTCAGTTCTCAGACTGGAGGTGGGTGGGGTGGGACATAGATGCAACCTCTTTTGAACAACAGTCACCAACAGAAATTGTTCTCTGGCAACTAGGGGATATTGCTATTCCTAAGCGATTTGATTGCCAGTGTCAATCCCCCTATTGATTTATTTGTTGCCTATTAGACTTATGGAGCCCTGGTGGCGCAGTGGTTAAGAGCTTAGGTGCTAACCAAAAGGTCGGCAGTTCCACCAGCCACTCCTTGGAAACCCTGTGGGGCAGTTCTACTCTGTCCTATAGGGTTGCTATGAGTCAGAATTGACTTGATGGCAACGGGTTTGGGTTTTTGTTTTTGTTTTTTTTTTTTTGGTTTATTAGACTTCTGCTATGCAACCCTTCCATTTTGGGCACCAGATCAAGGCTACTCCACACACTGAAGGCATCCACCTAACCTGATAGGCTTCCCAATTCACATCCTACTCATCACAGCCAGCCTGTGAACTCTGCTAGAAAGCAGGATATCAAGGTGGAATGATGTCACTATGGTGTGGGCACCCGCAAAACGCTGCCTCTGTTCATAAAAAAAACTTGAAATCCTCTGCCTTGGGAGAAGTGGGGGAAGGTTCTTTCGAGGTGTCAAGAGAGTTCAAATGCAAATTCTAGAATTAAACATTTTATGTGGTAGGATCGGATCGTTCTCTCTCCCTCTCCCTGCAAACATTTATCAAGCACCTGTTATGTGCTAGACACTGGGAGGCGTAGGGGATACAGTGATGCCTATGAGCACAGTCTGATGAGCTCAGCTCTGGGTGCTGGGAAACATCGAGGAGGGTTGGTTCTTCCAGACAAGGAGTTGGGGAGTCAGGTAAAGCTTTCTGGAGGAAATGGAACAACAACTGCCCTTGTTCCTCTAGTTCACGCTGGAGTTACATTGCTCAGACAGGAAAGAGAAAAATAAGTTTTCATTTCCAAAGATTTTGCTTTGTTTCAGTTTTACTAGCTCCTTGGCTTCAGTTAAATGGTCAAAGAGACGAGTAAGCAGCCCACCTCCCTCAGACTACCCAGGTGTGGAAATGAATTAAACAGCAAATAGCAGCTCAATTAACCCTTGCTCCTTGGGTTGATTATCTCAGTGGAAATCCATTCCACAATCTCGTCACTAAATGAATCCCCCAACCAGAAGAAGCATTCTCTAGATGCAGCCCTTTTATTGCTCAACTGCAAATGAGGCGTTAAGACTTAACCCAACTGGTAAATAGCTGAATAATTCAGAAAAGTTCGCAGTCACTATTATTTGTCTAAAGGCCCTTAGATAGTAGTAATATTGATATTATTGGCTATTACTAATAAAACTTCAGAGCGGCCTTCCCTGTCATTTAAATGAGCCCCAGTCACACGATCCCTTTCTTTTTAATCACACAGCTTAAACTCTTTTTTGTTTACCTTTTGTCTCCTCCACCGGATTGTAAGCTTCATGAGAAGAGGACCTTCCCCTGGTAGTTCACCATTTAATCCACGGCACTTTTACCAGTGGTGGGCACACAGTCAGTGCTCAATAAATATTTGTTGAGTGAACTGCTACTATTTATTGGGCACTTACTATGTGCTAAGATCTTTAAATCTATATCACTTAATCCTCACAACAGCCTTATGAGATAGGTCCTATTATTATCCTCCATTTTACAGATGACAAAACAGAGGCTTAGCATGATTGAAAAATCTGCCCTAGGCCACTCACATAAATGGTAGATGAGAGCTTCAAACCCTGCATGGTGACTCCAAAGTTTGTACTCTTTACCACTATGATAGAGCAATGCTTATGTGCATCCTGGATACTCCTTTGGAGTGAGAATATTCTCACCAGTATCTGTCATTTACTCTAGAGTCCAGGAGTTGAGGATTTTCTCAGGCACCATGGACACTCATGAAAGCTTAGTAAGAAAAATGGCCAAGGAGAAACTAGGAAGTGACACTCAGTATGGAACTCACATACCAGGAGAAGGAGGAGGAAGTCTATTTTCTGCCAGCTCCCTGTTTGTAAATATTACTCTACCACTAAAGTGGTTTCTCTACCTCCCCATTAGGAAGCCACAGAGATATCAACATTTAATGACATTGCCCTGGGAGCAGGGACATCAATACCAAATGAGCAAGCAACAGATAACTTCTGCTGCTCTAGGAAGCTGAGGTCATGTTTTATAAACACTAAAGAACTTTTATCATCCATCTTGGGCTGAGCAAAACCATATTTATCCAGCATTCTGAGTAATGGAAAGGATGGATTAGGGCCTTTAAATTTCTCATTGGAAGACATTATAAGTTTAAGAGCCCTATATGGCTGAGTCAAATGCCTGTATAACTAGCAGGCAAAACAACAACAATACGTAATCTAAAGGCAAGACCGGCAGGACAAGAATACTAACCAGCACTCCCTCTCCCATGTGTAGCCACTCTCTACTTGGTCTTCAGCTGTGTAAACTGTAACCTTGCTGGCCTTAGGGTAATTTTAATATAACAAAGGTTTGGATTTTTGCATTTCTTTCCTAAGCAGTTTATGCTTCCCTCTGAAGCCAGCTTTCAGGCCTAAGTAATTCATTGCTCCTCTCCACGCATTCATTTCACTTTGTCTAAAGAGACTTAATAAATCAGCCTAGCTATTGTTTAGTGAGGCCACGCTCAGCTTTTCATGTATAAAAAATGAGCATGTTACTAAGTAGAAGTGAGTGGCTACCTCGCCTGCGAGTTCCCTGGAGACCAGAACGTACAAAGGGAGACACCTCCTGAGCATCCCAGGAGCTTTGCTGTCTGTCACACAGGGAGTCCAGCCATCCCAACTACCACAGCTTAGGAAGGATTGTTTTGGGTGGGGGTGGGGAAGAGGTCAAATAACGGGGTCGAAAGCCAATCCTGTAAAGAAAATCCCAAGAAGTGATGACCCCAGATAAGAAATGGCCCTATGGGGTAGGCCCTTTAGCGGAAGACACTTGTCTTCTAGCAATTTCTGGTCATCACTCTGTGTTTTCTGGGTACTTGGAGAGGCAGCTGCTCTTACTAGTCTCAGGTTGCTGTTAGAAAAATTGGAGACAAGCGCCTCTGCCTGCTGGGTACCAGCTCTGTATGGAAGGCATTGTTTTGTTCGTTTTTATCTTTCACCTTTACTCTAGTTTGCTTTATATGGTCAGCGCCTCCGTCTTTTCTCTTAGGAATCTTTGCTTCTTACAAGGTCAGCCTGGGTCTTCCCTCAACCAAAAGTACAGAACCCTTCCCCTGGGCTATGACAACTGAATGGAAATCCCCTTGCCCTCCACTTCCTCTCCCGGAGCTGGTGTTCCCGGTGTTGATGTCACAGACCGGGCAGGTGAAGCATAATTATCAGCTATGATATCACCAACTGAAGTTCCAGACTGACATCAACCCTGAGCTAAGAAGAAAACAAAAAAAGCAATTGCTCTTCCGTTCCAAGCATCTCCTTTGGCAGTGCCAGAATTGAAGACAAAACCAATGAAAATTAAAGTAAGCCATATTTATTTAGAGTGTCTTCAAAATGGGCCCTGACATATCAACTGTTCTACTTGGAAATTGAACTAATAAAAACAAAGTTGTTTCTTTTCCTCTAGTGGCTAAAAGCTTGGACTCTGGAGCCTGCCTGGGTTCAAATCCTGGATTTGCAAACGTACTACCTGTGTAATTTTGGGCAAATTACATAACCACCAGGTTCCTTGGCTTCCGCATCTACATCAACGGGATAATAACTATTAAGTATCTACCAGTACGGTTATTATGATTTCTTGAGTTAACATATAAAGTCCTGAGAACAGTAACTGACACACTGCTAAGTGTTATTTAAATTTTAGCCATTATGATTATGTTAAACCACATTTGAATTTGGTCCCCTTTATTGGTCCCCAATATCTACCTGGCCTTCTTCCACTGCTTATTTGTCCCTGAAAGCTGCCCCCAAATGGCCATCCAATCAGATTTCAAGAATGTCTGACGAAGGTACTGTTCTAAATAATTCATGGTTTGCCAACTCCTGAAACTGGAGTCTAGAAGGCAGTTTGCTGTTGAGCACATCACACCCTAATCTTACCAGGGAGATGGTAAAGCGTTCTTTCCATCCTCTGCACTGAAGCCATGCCATCCTTCAGAAAAGTGAAACTACCCAATGGCTCCTTTCCCAGACTTGGCACCATGCAGTTGCCCACCCCCTCCCCCCTCTTCTCCGTAATGTGGTTTACTGGGTCATCTTTCCCTTCAGGAAAGCCCATACAGTTGTGCGTTTAATTCAACACAAGGTTTTAATCAATTGCTCACTTGGGGACAGCTTGGAAAATCAGTCCCTGGGAGCCAGCATGTGGTTCCCTTTCCGAAAGGGGAATTCAGGAGTCACCAGTTTCCATCACCCTGGACACACTGGGTTTAAGAACTCACCCACCACCCTTCCACTTTCCAGGAAAGAGCCTAACTCCGAATACCCTATCCTTCAACCCAACAAAGCCCAAGGCAGCAGCACCAGGTCCTGGGCTTCCTGCTCCCCTCCTCCTCGCACCCTACTCATCCAAGACTCAGCTCTTGGAGTTTGGAATCTTTGGCTACCGCTATTGGGCTGGAGAGGACCCAGGGGGCAGAACCACAGACAATCAGCCCAGCCTTTGGGGAAAGACGCCAACTACAGACCCAATCAGGCAGGCAAGAACGGCGGGGCAGGAAGCGTCACTTCATGAGAGGTTCAGGAACGGCTTGGTCAAGAGGCTCAATCTAAATCAGTGAACAGTCCCCAGATAGTGACAGTGTCAAGCAAAATAGGTTGGAGAAAGTCAACCATGACTTTATCCTCCAAAAAGTTAGTCGCCAGAAGAACCATCTCTGGAAAGATCTATTTAATGTACTCCTCCACCTTTAGATCAAACGCTTTCTGCCAGAGTTCGGCATACTCACCAGTTTTGGCCCAGGAAATTCACCCCCAGGTAGCCCACGGCGGGATTTCCCTCCCGACCCGTGGGAGGCCTGCGTGCTTACCGTTGGCGTTCTTGCCACAGATGAGATGCTCGTAGGGCTGCAGGACGCCCCAGAGTTCGGCGTCGTTGTTGATGACCATCTCCAGGGCCTCGGCGGACACCTCTCCGCTTCCAGCCCCTCCGCCGTCAGGGCTCTGGCTGGCCAGCACCCTGGCCCGGATCTCCTCCACCAGGTTCTCCATGCAGGCGGTGAGCGAGATGGCTGCGTACTCGTGGATGCGCACCGAGATGCGAGTGTCCACCATCCAGCGGAAGAAGCGGCCCACGGAGAAGGTGAGGCCGCAGCGCGCCGACTTGCCTCGGCGCAGCCCGTCCCCGGCGCTCATGCTGTACAGGGACAGCGCCTTGACCGCGGCCAGTGCGCAGCTCTCGGCCAGCGCCCAGCTGTGCACCAGGCGCACGGCGCTCTGCACCTCGAAGCGGGTGCACTTGGCGTGCAGCACGCTTAGGCGCTGCGCTTCGCGGGCCACGCGGATCAGCGCCCTGCGGAGCAACCCAGCCAAGCGCCGCACCGCCTCGCCAGAGAACGCAGGCAGCCGCCGGCCTCCGACTCCTTTGCGGAGGACGCGGGCCACGTCCCCCTCGGTCCAAGGGAACTCCTCCAGCTCGGGGAGTCGCGGGCAGCGCGAGAAGAGGTCGGCCACCTCGGGGTCCTCGGGCAGCACCGTGTTCACTGTGTCCCAGCTGTTGTGGCGGCTGTTCATGGAGCCAGAGTAGCACCACCAGGCCGCCCCGCGGTGCTGCTGCGCCGAAGAGTTGAGCGCCTGCGAGTTGGACTTGGAGGACGAGAGGCTGAGCGAGCGGCACGAGTCCCCCGCCCCATAGCCGGAGTCCAAGGTCAAGTCCTCCAGCGTCTTCAAAGTGGAGCTGTACGTCCCGGCCATGGGGAGCCTGCCGGCGGCCTCGCCGAACAAGTGGCGCTCACAACTCCATGCTCCCTTCCCGAAGTGGGCAGAAACAAGCTCTAGGCGCTCCGGAGTGCCCTTCTCCCTCTCGGCGCCGCGGGGCTCGGGGGCCGCATCGCCCGCGCGCCTGCGGGAAGGTGGGCGAGATCGCGGTGAGCGGGAGCTCCAAGCGCCCGGCGTCCTGACGCGGAGCTGTCACTGAAACGGTCCCCGCAGCTCCTCTTCGGCACTCTGTCTTGTACACCTCAACTTCCCGAGAGCAGAGCGTCTATCCTCAGAGAAGGAATCCCGAGAGAACACGGCGGCGGCGGCAGGAGGAATTGGAGAAGGCGGCGGCGCCGGGCGCAGTGGTGAGTCCGAGACCAGGCGACCAGAAAGCGCTCGGCAAACTTCTGCGCGGAGCGGGTGGTAGACACAGCTGGTAACCCAGCTGCCGCGGCATGCAAATTGCCCCACGCAGCTCACCAATCATCGGCCGCGACGGGCAGGGGCTGCACCAATGATCCCTTAGGTGGGCGGTCACTATGCAGATTTCACTCAGACGGCGGTGAAACCCCGCGGCGGCGGAGGCGGGGCTGGAGGCCGAGGGTCGGATAAAGCGGAGTAGAGGGTGGAGGAGGGAGAAGCGAGAGAGAGCTGGGAGGTGTGGAGTAGAAACCCGGAAAGGAGGGGTCGAAACATTAGGCGAGGGCGCTGATGGTATAACGAAATTTTTAAAGAAAAAGCCACTGCACTGGCCCCTTCTCGCCACCCCCTTTGAAGCCCTCTGGCAAGCTCCTATAAGAATTTCTTAACCTCATACACCTACAGCCTCCAGGAGGCCTGCAGTCTCCCCCTCCCTCTTTTGAAATCAACACGCCATTTTCTGAGTATTATTCTGGGAAGAGGGCCCATAACTTTTATCAGATTCTCAAAAGGATCTCTGAGTTCTCTTGTGCTTAAATGTCTTCGATTTTAGATTCGGTGAGTCCATGTGACAGAGTACAAGTGCCCCATAGGGTTTTCTAGGCGGTAATCTCTGTGGGAGCAGATCGCCAGGTCTTTCTCCCTCGGAGCACGCTGGGTGGGTTCCAGCTGCCAACCTTTCAGCCGAGCTCTTAACCTTTCTGCCATCATGACTCCTTGAGTTCTTTGTTACCTCTGTGTAATACCAATTGCTGTCAGGTGGATCCTTTTTGAACCTTGTATGAGGGGTGTGT